GAGGTTTCGTATCAGTTTTGCCTCTTCGATTATGCCAAATTGGAAAATTTATATTTTGAACTTACAAAAATAATGTACTATATGGGGAAAATTAGAGGTCTAAATAGAAGCAACCTTTTCTCTTTTCTCTTTTCTCTTTATTCATAATTTTTGGGTTTTGCTGTATTTGCATGGCCAAGCTTCTCCAAACCAAGAGCCAATAATCCTAAGGCACTAGACGCCACTCAGTTGAGCCACGTGTAGCTGCAGTGTCACATCTCCTCTATAAATACAGTGCATCGGAGCAAGTTGCAGGAGCAGTACAAGCCTAGGATTGAGAACTGAGAGATAGTGCTACACCTTAATCTTTATCTCCTCGCCAGTCTTTGTTTGGTTCCATAGAAAATCTAATTTTCTCGGGGAAGAAGAACAAAAAACAGAGATTGAGAAAATGTTCATCGAGAGCTTTAAGGTAGAGTCCCCTAATGTAAAGTACACAGAGAATGAGATTCATTCCGTGTACAGCTACGAGACCACTGAGCTTGTCCATGAGGACAGGAAGGGCACATACCAATGGATTGTCAAGCCCAAGACTGTCAAATATGAATTCAAGACTGATATCCATGTCCCCAAACTAGGGTTTGCATCACTAACCCAGACCGTTTTGTTTTGCCATTTCAAAATTTAAAATGAAATCTGATTGTTGGGTTATAATTTTGTCTTTCATAATTTTTCTGGGTAAGTCTTAAAGTTTTGATTTTTATTGATTTGATGTGTTTGTTGATTTTTGGGATACAGGGTAATGCTTGTGGGCTGGGGTGGAAACAATGGCTCAACCCTCACTGCTGGTGTCATAGCAAACAGAGAGTGAGTGCTTCAATTTCTTCATTTCCACCTGCATTTTAGTAACAATTTTTATTTGGGAATCAAATTTAAGCTCTAATCATTGTGATGGTTGTTCAGATTGTGTTTGTGGTTTAAAATGTTGATATATTTTTTTTAAATGTTCCACTTTGTCTGTACATGAATTTTTTATTAATTGTAAGATATGGGTATTGTAAATTCTCAGAGGAATCTCCTGGGCAACCAAGGACAAGGTGCAACAAGCCAATTACTTTGGCTCACTGACCCAAGCCTCATCCATCCGTGTTGGGTCTTTCAATGGAGAAGAGATCTATGCCCCATTTAAGAGCCTGCTTCCTATGGTAATTTTATACTTTTGATTTCTTAATTGGTGTTTCAGTTGCTTCTGGTTTAATTAATTATGTAAAATTATACATTAACATTAATTCAGAGCTAAAAATTTGGTTTTCAGGTTAACCCAGATGACATTGTGTTTGGGGGTTGGGATATAAGTGATATGAACCTAGCAGATGCTATGGCTAGGGCCAGGGTCCTGGACATTGATCTGCAAAAGCAACTGAGGCCATACATGGAGTCCATGCTCCCACTCCCTGGAATCTATGACCCTGATTTCATTGCTGCTAACCAAGGTGCACGTGCCAACAAAGTGATCAAGGGGACCAAGAAGGAACAAGTCCAACAAATCATCAAAGACATTAGGTACTAGTTAATTCTAAAATCGAATTAATTAATACAAATCAACAGTGTTAACTGTCAAGTGTTTGTCCTTGAAAGAACGTTAGTTTGGTGCTAATTAGTGCTTTATGTATGTCCTAATTAAACAGAGAGTTTAAGGAGCAGAACAAAGTGGACAAGGTGGTTGTGCTGTGGACTGCCAACACTGAGAGGTACAGTAATGTGGCTGTGGGGTTAAACGACACCGTGGAGAACCTTTTGGGTTCGGTGGACAAGAATGAAGCTGAGATTTCTCCTTCCACCTTGTATGCCATAGCTTGTGTTCTTGAAAACGTTCCTTTCATCAATGGAAGCCCGCAAAACACTTTTGTCCCAGGTAGCCTAGCTAATTAGCTAATAGCCCTTTTTATGTTTTCCTTCTTTTACAAAATTTTTGGCTAATAAGCACCCTTTTCTCTTTTCTTTCTTATTTTCCAAATTTTTTAGCTAATAACCCTTTGCTCCAATCAAGTGTTTGATGTGATTGAATGTGACTATTATTGGCAGGGCTGATTGATTTGGCAGTAAGGAGAAACTGTTTGATTGGTGGGGATGATTTTAAGAGTGGTCAGACCAAGATTAAATCAGTTTTGGTTGATTTCCTTGTTGGGGCTGGCATCAAGCCAACATCCATAGTGAGCTATAACCATCTTGGAAACAATGATGGCATGAATCTTTCAGCCCCACAAACCTTCAGGTCCAAAGAGATTTCAAAGAGCAATGTTGTGGATGACATGGTCTCTAGCAATGGCATCCTCTATGAGCCTGGTGAACACCCTGACCATGTTGTGGTCATCAAGTACGTGCCATATGTGGCAGATAGCAAGAGAGCCATGGATGAGTACACTTCTGAGATTTTCTTGGGTGGGAAAAACACCATTGTGATGCACAACACCTGTGAAGACTCCCTCTTGGCTGCTCCTATCATCCTTGATTTGGTTCTCCTGGCTGAGCTCAGCACTCGCATCCAGCTCAAATCTGAAGCAGAGGTATGTTTGATTTTGTAACAATAATAATACAATTGCTCACTTTTAGCTTAATAATTGGAGCAAGGGGACCAAGAAGGAACAAGTCCAACAAATCATCAAAGACATTAGGTACTAGATAATTCTAAAATCGAATTAATTAATACAAATCAACAGTGTTAACTGTCAAGTGTTTGTCCTTGAAAGAACGTTAGTTTGGTGCTAATTAGTGCTTTATGTATGTCCTAATTAAACAGAGAGTTTAAGGAGCAGAACAAAGTGGACAAGGTGGTTGTGCTGTGGACTGCCAACACTGAGAGGTACAGTAATGTGGCTGTGGGGTTAAACGACACCGTGGAGAACCTTTTGGGTTCGGTGGACAAGAATGAAGCTGAGATTTCTCCTTCCACCTTGTATGCCATAGCTTGTGTTCTTGAAAACGTTCCTTTCATCAATGGAAGCCCGCAAAACACTTTTGTCCCAGGTAGCCTAGCTAATTAGCTAATAGCCCTTTTTATGTTTTCCTTCTTTTACAAAATTTTTGGCTAATAAGCACCCTTTTCTCTTTTCTTTCTTATTTTCCAAATTTTTTAGCTAATAACCCTTTGCTCCAATCAAGTGTTTGATGTGATTGAATGTGACTATTATTGGCAGGGCTGATTGATTTGGCAGTAAGGAGAAACTGTTTGATTGGTGGGGATGATTTTAAGAGTGGTCAGACCAAGATTAAATCAGTTTTGGTTGATTTCCTTGTTGGGGCTGGCATCAAGCCAACATCCATAGTGAGCTATAACCATCTTGGAAACAATGATGGCATGAATCTTTCAGCCCCACAAACCTTCAGGTCCAAAGAGATTTCAAAGAGCAATGTTGTGGATGACATGGTCTCTAGCAATGGCATCCTCTATGAGCCTGGTGAACACCCTGACCATGTTGTGGTCATCAAGTACGTGCCATATGTGGCAGATAGCAAGAGAGCCATGGATGAGTACACTTCTGAGATTTTCTTGGGTGGGAAAAACACCATTGTGATGCACAACACCTGTGAAGACTCCCTCTTGGCTGCTCCTATCATCCTTGATTTGGTTCTCCTGGCTGAGCTCAGCACTCGCATCCAGCTCAAATCTGAAGCAGAGGTATGTTTGATTTTGTAACAATAATAATACAATTGCTCACTTTTAGCTTAATAATTGGAGCATAACTAGCTTGTGATGTGCTTGTGCAACAGTATTTATTTAGAAGCCACATTATATTGGTCATAGTAGCATTATAATGACTTCTCATTAGAAATGATGCTAAAATGTTTTTCTGTCTCCTTTTGTTTACAGGGCAAGTTCCACTCTTTCCACCCGGTGGCAACCATTCTCAGTTACCTCAGCAAGGCTCCTCTTGTAAGTCTAATATCAATGGTTTTGTCACTGTCATTGGTATACATCAGTTGTTGTTATGAATTTATTTTTGCACATTAATGCTCTTGAGAGGTATCCAGAAATGAAAGACAGAAAGAAAAAAAAAAAGAAAAAAAAAAAA